AAGTCGGACACCCAACCGACTGAGCCACCCAGGCGCCCCTCTTATTTAATTTTTAAAACAGTAACAACACTTATTTCATCAGGAGTTTATGTAAACTGAGGCTTTGATGTGGGAGGTGATTTTTTTTTAAGGTCACACAACTGGAAAATGGTGGACTGGGATTCAAACCTTTATTTGAGGAACACCAGAGCTCCTGCTTTACCTACTACTTTGTGTTATTCTTACTTGATGTTAGGGCCTCTATTTGTTTTCAGTCCTCAGATGAGATTATGATTGAGAAAGCATTCTGTAAGCAGTAATAGATATTCTTCTGTTATTCAAGGTCTTCAGGGGGGCAGATTGAATGCATTTGGTTTGGGAAGAATTTGATAAAGGGATTATATTTACGAGGGCATAGGCAGAGTTTAAGGAAACCAATAAGACATAATGCTAATAATAGTGAGAGAGCTAGTAGAAGGGGACATTTCTTATTAGTATTCTCAACTGTTGGCTTTGCCCTCCCCAGCCCATGCTTACTTGGTATCTTCAGTACTTGGGCAGACAGATAAGTACCTTTTCAGTGCATCCCTGCTGCTGGTAGTTACCAGTCTGTATGACTGTTTGATGGTTTATAGGAAACCACGTATGAAACACTGAGCATCTGTTCTGTGGCTCTACCACCTTCTCACCCAACTTTCTCTTCTTACCCACCCCGACTCTCCTGGGTGAGTGAGTGAGTGAAAGAAGATTAGGTGAGTGGTGGGGTGGTAGTAGGTATTAGCTTCCCTTTTTCAGATTTCAGATTTACCTGAACTGGCACCCATCCTTTATTACTATTTTCCTCCTCAGAGAAAATGGTATACATACTTCTTTTTCTCAGACTAGTGCTATACCTGATTTTTCTATTATCCCCCTTGTATTTATCCACAACCTGTTACTTTCTTCATACTTCTTTTCCTCACTTGACAAACAACCTTGAGGCTCCCCATAAAACCAAACCAAACCAAACCAAACAATAAAAACTCTTTTTCTTGGCTTCCCACCTCCAACCCCTCCTAGTTTTTTTAAGCTGTTGCTCTGTTTGCATCCTTCTATGTCACTGACTTTCCAGATAATTGCATTTTACATTTCTTTGGCTCTTGGTCATTCTTTAACTAGTTACTTTCCTAAGTTTATCTAAAACTAGATTGCTAAAACTGACTGTTTTCAATCTTCATTCTACTTTGTCTGTAGACTATATGTTATGGCAATCTCTAGTTTCTTGAAACTTCCTTTCCTTGATTTTTAGATTATCATTATTTCTTGGATTTTTCCTTCCATTTCTGGCTACCTTCACAGTCTTCAAAAACACCTCTTCTTTTGTTTTCCTAATTCCTGGTTTTCCACAGAATGTTACCCTTGGCTCCTTTCAGGATCTGCTGATGTCTTTGGATGATTCCATCCCTCTCTATAGCTTCATCTATCACCAATTAGTTGCTGACTTCTGGATGTATATCCTTATTCTTGATTTCACTCTTGAGCTCACGTATAATATTTCTGTTTGCTTTCTGGACATCGTGGATATTCTATAGGTGTCTCAAAGCTTAACATATCCAAAACTGTATTCATCCTTTTTTCTAAAACACTCCTCCCTTTGTTATGTGTTCCTTGCCTGTTAAGCATTATCTTTTACTGAATCTCTTAGACTTCATATCTGAGTCTTCTCTTCTCCTCCATTCATTTGTCAGGTCTTGTTGCTTCTACTTCATGGCTAGGTTAAATGTGGAGGCAGATTATCTGCATTTGCATTCTAGTCTTGCTTACTAGCTGGCTAACTTTACAGTAAATCTAACCTTTCTAGGCTTTGATTTTCTTATGTGTAAAATGGAGATACCAGTACATCTAGAGTTTTTATGGGATTTAAATGAGCTAATATATATAGTACTTAGAAAAAAGCCTGGCACATTGTAAGTGCTCAATATATGTTAGCTATAATTGGTTTTAATTCAGTGTTCAGTTCCACAAGTATTTTTGAATGCCAGGCACTGTGTTGGCACTGTGATTGCAAAGAATGAATGATAATGGTCCCTTTTGAAGGAGCTTGGTATTATTGGCAGAGATATTACAGGTGTAAATAATTTCATTATCACATGGCACATGCAAAGATAAAGGTGAATATCAGATTTATCTTTTCTAATCCTGCTCTTACTTCATCTGCCTTCTGCCTGTCTCATTCACCTTATTATACTTCTATTTGACATATTTTTAAAGGCAAATTTGATCTTGTCATTTCCTTGTCTAAAAAATCTTTTTTGTTTCCGGGGTGTCAATAGATAAAACCTAAACTCGTTAGCCTGCTATTCACTGCTAATTATAAGCTTCACCCTTATTTACCCTTCAATTCCATATTGTTTCTCTCTTCTCTAAGTAGTCGGTGATTATGCCATCCCCAAGTTGGAACTGTTTTTCAGATTTGTCATGTTCTTTCATAGTGCCATATTTTTGTACATACTGGTTTTTTTTAATTAAAAAAAATTTTATTACTGCTTACTTATTTTTGAGAGAGACTGAGTGAGAGCAGCAGAGGAGCAGAGAGAGAGGGAGATACAGAAGCAGACTCTAGGCTCTGAGCTGTCAGCACAGAGCCTGACATGGGGCTTGAACCCACGAACCGTGAGATCATGACCTGAACTGAAGTCAGACCCTTAACTGACTGAGCCACCCCGGCACCTCTCTACATACTGTTTTTAGTATGAAGGTCTTTTCCTCTGCTCTCTTTGTTGCCAGTATTTCAGTTGTTAAAGATTTAAGTCAGAAGTCATCTCTTTTCTGGAATCCCCATTATAGTCTTTCATGCAGAATTACTTGCTTTCATATCCCTGTGATACTTTTGTAAATACCTCTGTTTATAATACTCATTGGAGGTATTGTTTATGCTCCCCTCCAACTGTTTTTATCTGTCTTTGTATTTGCATTGATTATTTAGCAGAGTGCTCAGTACATTATCAGTACGGATGTACAGTGAGTGAACCCTGCCTGCTGTTTAGGGCTGGCCCTGCCCTTTATAAAACTGTCTCCTATTTTACAGAAGGCTTCCTTAAGTATAGTTGCTACCTTCCTTTGGTTGTGAGTTGGTGGTAACTGTAAGAGAGAGTATCTGGGTGGAAGGGGATGGTGGTAACATAACCCGAGGGCTGAGTGTGGGGCTATTGCCAGGTCTCTGGGTTCCTTCAGCCCTTGTTGAGCTTAAAGAGGAAGGACAACTGAACCACGCCTTTCCTCTGAAGTTTTTGTACTTGTGAGAGATAATACTGCTGAGGCGGTGAGGGGTGTGATGGAGAAGGAACTGTGAGCCATGGTCTAGGCCAACAGCTATTTTGGTACTTTTTCCCTTTCCCTAGTGAGGGTGTCATGTCATGGCCCCAGGAGTGAGTGTTGGCTATATCTGGCAGGAGTGGGGTATCTGTGTGTATATGGGAATGTGTCCCTGTGCTCTTCGCTGGAATGAAAATTGTTCCACTCTTTTGGTTGGTTCTGGATTTCTCTCCCTTAAGAGTGTTCAGCTAGTTAAGGGTCTCTTGGGTTATTTCCTACTGGGTGGGATTCTAGGGAGGGACTGTGATAGGTAGAAAAATATTTCTTCCTCAGTAGTCTCGGAGGGCTGGAGTCAGATCAAGATTGGGTTCCTTCTTTCCTTCCTTCCTTCCTTCCTTCCTTCCTTCCTTCCTTCCTTCCTTCCTTCTTTCCTTCCTGATTTTATTTTTAAGTAATCTCTATACCCAATGTGGGGCTTGAACTCACAATCCTGAGACCAAGGGTTGCATACTCTACCAACTGAGCCAGCCAGGCACCCCAAGACTGGGTTTCTTGTTCCTTCATTCATTCGTTTGTTTATTCATTCATTCACTTAAGCATCCACACATTGAGCAAATATTTACTGAGTCCCTAGGTATTGCTCTAGGTACTGGGGATACAATAGTAAACAAAACAGACAAACCTTGCCTTCAGTGAGCTTACATTCTGGTGGAGAAGCTAGACAAATAAATAAGCGAGTAAATATTTTTTGATAGTGAAAACTGCTAAGAAGGAAGATTAGGAAGCTAGAGAGTGAAGGTGGGAAGATGTACTACTTAAATAGAATTAAGTAAGGCCTCTCTGAGGAGACAGCATTCGAAAAAAATGGAGTGATGTGAACAATGTGAAGATCAGGGAAGAGCACTCCAAGCCCAGAGAATAGAGAGTATTCTAGAAGGCCTGCGTGAGTAAAGTATGAGTGAGGAGGAGGATGGTAGGAAGTTAATACAGATTAGATCATAGAGTACCCAGAGGCCACGGTAAGGGATTTGGAGTATTACTAGTGTGATGGGAAGTCATTGGAGGGTATTCAAGAGAGGAGAGACGTAACATAAGTTAGGTTTTAAAAATATCACTCTGGTTACTTTGTGTAGAATAGACTGTCAGGGGAGGGGGAAACAAGACTGGAAGCATGGACACCAGATTGGAAGCTATTGCAATAGTAAGACATGCTTTGAGGGTATAGGTGGTAGGGTTTGCTGATAAACTGGACATTGGAATTAAGGAAAAGGAGAAATAAGGATGATGTTCAAGTTTTTGGCCTGAGCATGTAGGTGAATATTGGTATCAGTACTTGAGATGGAGAAAGCTGGAGGAGTGATAGGTTTGGTGGTAGGAATGAGTTCTGTTTTAAACACGTTATATTTAAGGTACTGTGTGTTTGCATATGTGCGTGGAATTTTCAGTGGATTGGTGGCTCTGAGTTCTTCCTGTTGGGGAGTGGAGAGAGGCAAACTCCTCTGTTGATTTCTTCCTTTCTTTCTGTCTTTGAATTAGATTTGCAGGTCTGGACTGGGCCGTGACCTCTGGGCTCGCTATTCCAGCCTTGTGTATCTTCTGGATCCATGGCCAGCTACTGGCTCCTGCAGACCGGATGAAGCAGACTAGAGACACAAGTGGAGAAAGCTGCCAGCTGGCAAATTCTCAGAGTGTGGCCCTCTGGCTACTGGCCCTGCCCAGCCTGCCTCATGGAGAGGATGAACTGGTTGAGCAGATTGGCCTCCCGGGGCCCTGGGCACCGTGTACCTCAGGGGTCCAGTCTGCAGGCCCCTGTCATGGCTGACCCTGAGACCTGCCTCATGGTTTTCAAGAATCACTGGTCCCAGGTAGGAGATTCTATACCAAATGGCCTAATCCACTGGCTCCCTGAGTTCTCCTAACCTTCTGTTCACTCTCACCATCCCATTTAGTCATCATATCATCTTAGATTCCTTCTATCTTCTGTTTCTCCAGGTAGTGCGAATCCTGGAGCGGCAAGGCCCTCGGGCAGCTTCTGGGGGTGCAGATGATCTCAGTGCTGTACGCAACCACACTTACCAGATGTTGACACTGCTGGTAGAAGATCGTGTGGTCTCCTCAGCCCCCACGACCCCTGGGCCCTTGCTGGAATTCGCTTTGCGTGAGGACCTGCTAACCCGTGTGTTGGTTTGGCAGCTTCAATGGGATGAGCTTGGGGATGGGGTTGAGGAACGGCGGGCTGAGCAACTGAAGCTGTTTGAGATGCTAGTGAGTGAAGCTCGCCAGCCACTATTGCGACACGGTCCAGTTCGTGAGGCTCTGCTGACCTTGCTGGATGCCTGTGGCCGTCCTGTGCCCAGTAGCCCAGCACTGGATGAAGGCCTGGTGCTACTTCTCAGCCAGCTGTGTGTGTGTCTGGCCCGGGAACCTTCATTGCTCGAGTTCTTCCTGCAGCCACCTCCTGAGCCTGGAGCTGCCCCCCGCCTTCTCCTCTTTTCTCGCCTTGTTCCCTTCGTCCATCGGGAGGGCACGCTGGGCCAGCAGGCCCGTGATGCCCTACTCCTGCTCATGGCTCTGTCGGCCGGGAGTCCCACTGTGGGCCGCTACATTGCAGATCACTCTTACTTCTGCCCGGTCAGCACCTCCTGGGATGGGGGGTAGGGTATGGTGTATAGACACTAGACAGCACCTTGCTATCCAGAAGATGTGGAGGGGCTATGTACTGGGTACTTTTCCTTTAGGTGGTAGCCCCCTGGGTTTGAAAACAGTGCCTGGAGTTGGGGTGGGGATGAAACATGGGCTTAGGTGGACAGCATAGATACTAAGACTCTTCATGGACCAGTGTTCCCAGGTGATGTCCTGGCACATTGGATAACTAAATATCTGCTTGAGGAATAGTTCTTTCCCCTAGTCCCATCAAAACTCTGGGTTAATAGCTCCCCTGGTTCCCTTTTATGTATTGTCTGAGCTTTTGGTAACCTGTCCTTGGGGATGGCCCCCAGGTGCTGGCCACAGGGCTGAGTGCCCTGTACTCCTCACTGCCCCGCAAGATTGAGGTTCCAGGGGATGATTGGCACTGCCTGCGACGGGAGGATTGGCTGGGAGTGCCAGCCCTTGCGCTCTTCATGAGTTCCCTAGAATTCTGCAATGCAGTCATTCAGGTGGGATTGCACCTTCCCAGGAGGACTGGTTCTTGGTCATTCTGGGCAAATGGGGTGGGAAGGGGGCACATTCCCTGGAGTTCTGCTGTTCTGCCATCTTGGGGGTGGGGTGCCTGCTTGTACCATTCTATTCCCTTCCAGACAGTGGCCACCTCACATTCTTCCTCCTTCTCTGTTGTACCCCTACAGGTGGCTCACCCTTTGGTGCAGAAGCAGCTAGTTGATTATATCCATAATGGGTTCTTGGTGCCTGTCATGGGCCCTGCCCTGCATAAGGTGAGAGTTATGGGTGGCAAGGCTGAGGGGTGGTGACCCCAGTGCCAGGACCAATGTGGGAAGTAGTGGGCTGGGTACTCTTCCCCTTTTCCCTATTTTCTCCTGGTTCCTCCTTAGAGCTCGGGGAAAATAACTTAGTACATGTGCAGGGAAGCCCTAAATTTCCAAACTTTCCCTCCCCTTCGTCCAGACCTCTGTGGAGGAGATGATCGCCAGTACCGCCTATCTGGAGCTTTTCCTACGGAGTATCTCAGAGCCTGCTTTGCTCCGTACCTTCCTGCGATTCCTGCTGTTACACCGGCATGACACCCACACCATCCTTGACACCCTCGTTGCCCGTATTGGCAGCAACTCCCGGGTATGGCCCCTACCTCTGTCCTGGCTTACCTGGGTGAGCCATCTTCTCTCTCTGAACTTTGTTCTGGGAGGGTGTGCCTGCCCTTCTTTGGCCTTTGTCTCCAGCAGTCACTTCAAAGTTAGGTGGCATTTACTGTCCAGTATTAAACTTTTGACCACTTTGGGAGTAGCTCCCTTGCTTTTGTAATATATGAATCTAGAACACATTACTTTTTCTGGATAACTGGCTCCTCATCATGACTAGGGGTTTTGCCATTGTGCTGTACTTGCGATGTAGCATTGGCCTGGGGTTCTCTTCAGCTGTGTATTGTACTGTGGCCTGCTGTGGGTGACTGAGATCACTTCCCCAGGTTTTGTGTTTGCTTTGATAGGTGATCCAGCTGCTGCTGGTATGCTTAGGTTTTTTCCCCTTTGGATTTGCCACATTTGAAGTGCTGTAATTTGGGGCACCCATCTCCCCACCTACCTACTTAAACATTCCTTCCTCCTGAACATTTTTACTGAATGTTTTACTTACTGTTTTCTCCTACTAAGGATAAGTGGTAAACAAGGTAGGCATAGTTGCTGGTGTCATGGAGCTTCCTTACTTTATACAAACCCATTAATAAAATAATTGAAAGTTGTGGTCACTGTTATGAAAAAACCAAACAGCTGTTTAGAAAATAATAAGGTGGTCAGAAACCTTTCTGAGGAGGTGACATTGAGCTAAGACCTAAAGGTCATGAGGGAGTTCACCTATTGAAGAACAAGTGGAAGAAGAGTCTGAGCAGAGGGTGCAGCATGCACAGTACATGAGATGGGGATGAGTGAGTGTATTTGAGGAAATAAAAGACCAGTAAGACTGGAGGTGTAGTGAGCAAGGGGGAGAAGGGAATGAGGTGAAAGTAGAGAGGTAGGTAAGATTCAGTCATGCATGACCTTGTAGACCATGGTAAGCAGTTTGGATTTTAATCAGTAGAAATATGTATGAAAGAGGAGTAAGTAGTTTCCAATAATAAAGACCCAGAGTCTTTCTAGGGGAATAAAGCATTCATTTAGTCATGAACTTTATGCCATTTATTTAGCTCTGGAACCATTTTTTTGTTTCCTTCTTATAACAAATTGAAGTTCCCTAGGTCCTTGTATTTAAAATAGAAGTTCTCAGATTACTAAAGGTTCTGGAAAACTGTTGAAAATCATTCAGATACATTGAGATACCTGGTAGTAGGCCTCTTGGTAGGTGAGGTTTTGGGATAGCTGTTTTGTGTAGGTGAGGTTTTTGAATACTAAAGGTATGGATGAAGTATTCTACACTGACTTTGATTAGACCAGTGTTTCTGAACCAGGTGCACACTTCAGAATTTGAAAATGGCAACAGCTACAACAGTTTCTAGGCTCCCTGCCTTAGATTTCTTGGATTATAATATACAGGGCATGTGTATTTTTACAATATTCCAAAAAGTACTTATGATACATGCCTGGGTTAATTAGGAATTATTGTCTAAAATCAATAGGAAATAGATGTCAAAGCTTTAATTTTACAAAGATACCAATTTCGCATTATGCTAAAGTTAGACCATGGTCTTTTATCTATTCAGCCTGATGGAATGTCCTCTTCGTGTTTTGAGACAGTTAATTTCCTTCTTGAGGTTGATTTTTTTTTTTTTTTTTCCTATGTTGGGCTATCTCCATGTTCCTTTTGTCTTAATCTTATCCTCACTTCTTTGACTCTCTCTCATTGTCTTTAGTCTTCAGCATTTAATTTTATTAGTCTTGCATTTGGTCCTCTCGTCTCAGGAGCCTTCATGTTTTTGGGGTATTTCTTCTTGTTTCCTGCTTCTTGGAGGACAAGATTGTTTCTGATTTCAGGATGCCGGGGCTTTCCTTTCTACTGTTTGGCCTTTTTTAGTCTTGATTCTGCTGCCCTGACTTTGAACTTCTTTAAGCTTTTCTTTTGTGGCTTCAAGTGAATCATGCTGGCTAGTCAGTCTCTGTGCCTGTTTTAGTTTCCCATTGCTGTCATAACAAATCACCACAAACATAGTGGCTTAAAACACACAAATTTATTATCTTACAGTTCTGTAGGTCATACGTCTGAGACACAGATCTCACTAGGCTAAAATCAAAATGTTTTCAGGGCTGTGTTCCTTTCTGGAGTCTCTAGGAGTGGATCTGTTTCCTTGCTCAGTAGGGTTGCTGGTAGAATTTATTTCATTGCAGTTCCAGGACTGAGATTCCCATTTTCTTGCTGGCTGTCAGCTGAGGACCATTCCCAGATTCTAGAGGCCAACCAAATTCCTTGGTTTGTAGCCCCCTTTTTTCATCCTCAGAGCCATCAATGGTGGATCAAGTCCCTCTCAAGCTTCAGATATCTTTTTGACCCAGCTGGTGAAGGTCCTGCGCTTTTAAGGACTCAAGTGATTTGATTGTGCCTTCCTGGATAATCCATGCTACTTTCCCCACCTCAGATTTCATAACCATAATCATATCTGCAAAGTACCTTTTGTCATGTAGGGTAAAATACTTACAGGTTATGGGGATTAGGACCTGGACATCTTTGGGGGACCATTTTTCTACCTACCTCACAACCTTTCAGTGAGTGTGAATGTTTTCATTGCTAGTTAAAATGGTTATTTAGGGTAAATCTGAACATCCTTGCAAATATCCAAATATGTGAACTGATATCTCATCTCTTTCCCACTGCAGTTGGCTTTTAATCTTCCCACATTTATTTAGTAAATGATGAGCATCTAGACTGTGCAGTGTGCCCTGGCCTAAGACCCAATAGTCATCTTCAGGGAGCTCTAGGTATACTTGCCATAAGGGAAGTAGAGAGAAAGTGCTGTGGGGATTCAAAGGAGTGAGGGAGTGCTTACTTGTGTCTGTTGTCTTCCACTCTCTTCGCCTAGCCAGAGAAGAACCACCCTTCTTATTTTCTAAAACAAATGGTTTCCTCTATTCTGGACCCACCTATTTTTTCCTTTTCCTGTCAGCTGTGCTTGAGCTTTTCTTTCTTCTACCTTCTTAGAGATACATCAGTGTTGGAGAGGTGACTCAGACTCCATGTTCACAGCCCCGCCCACTTCCCAGCTGGGATTCTTCCAGGTTCCCTCTGGTTTCTTGTTGGTAGGCATTTAGTTACTGTGCAGCCACAGTCTCTGCTGACAGGCATTCACTTAGTTATCATATTGTTGTTGTCTCCTGTTAGTCATTCCCTCAGTCCCAGTATTTCCTAGGGTCTTTCTTCATGGGTATTCATTCCATTAAGTACTACTACTGGAATCTCTGCTGACAGGGGTATGTAACCAGAGAGTCTGCTGACATGTGTATGGTCTGTAGAAATATAGAACGTGACACATGGTTCATTCCTATCTGTGAATAGTGAGGTCTTGCCTACAAAGATCATGTGATCATTTATTTAATATGCAAATGATCATTATGTGCCAGGCCCTATGCACATGCTACTCTAGGAGTGGTTGGTTGGGCCTGGGGCTGGGGGGTTCCCATTTGGTAAACATCTTGGTGGGTAGAGAGCTCTTATGGTGACTCCCTCCCTCCTCCCCCACCCCCCCAGCTCTGCATGGTCTCTCTGAGTCTCTTCAGGACCCTACTGAACCTCAGCTGTGAGGATGTCCTGCTGCAGCTGGTTCTCAGGTACCTGTGGGGGCAGGGCTGAGGGATGGCTGATCCTGAACTCTCAAGGCCTTGTGCATTGCTGGGGCGATGGGTTGTATTGGGGTTGCTCATGTGGAGCATGGCTTAGCCATGTAGTTCCATTGGCCTGGCTTAGCCATGTGTTTCTATTGGCCTGATGTTCTTGGAGCCTGTCTTGGCCATGTAGTTCCATTGGCCTGATGTTCTCTCAAGCCCTGTCCTTCCTTTCTGATCTATCCTGTGCTCCTTTTTCTGCTTTCCCAGGTATCTCGTCCCGTGTAACCATGTGATGCTGAGCCAGAAGCCAGCTGTACGTGATGTGGACCTATATGGACGAGCTGCAGACAAGTTTCTCTCCCTTATCCCACGCTGTTGTCGGCATCGTGCCCCTAGCCCACCCCGTCCAGAGCATGCCTCATGGGCACGAGGTGGGCCTAGCAGAGAGGCAGGGAGAAGGGAGGACACAACGGGTATGGCCTGGGTTCTGGTGAGCCTAGCAAGAAGGTGGGGTTTGGGTGCGGGGAGGGAGATGGCCATGAGTGGCATTTTCATCTTTGGGGAGGTTGATGCCTTAAATCCACCAAAGAAATTTAGCTTCTGAGCAAAGTTGTTCCTCTTCCTCATTCCAGTCATGTATTGTTTCTATTTTCCATTGTTTCTTTGGTATTGGGGGTGGTGAGAGGGGGTGGTGGATGCAGAAAAGCTTAATTTGGAGGGTGGAGAATCAGCTGCCTAAATAGGTCACATTTCTTTGCTGCTTCACTGCCTTCTCTCTTAGTCTCCCTAGGTGCCTTATTCCTCCTCCTGGCCCTCTGTCTCTTTGATTCCTCTTATGTTTTTTTTCCCTCTGTAGGCCCTGGAAGCCCAAGTGTTGACTCCTCTTCTGTGGTGACAGTGCCCCGGCCCTCCACACCGTCTCGTCTGGCCCTCTTCCTGCGACAGCAGAGTCTGGGTGGCTCGGAATCCCCAGCTCCAGCCCCTCGCTCACCAGGGCTTGCTGCATCCCCAGCCTCCAGCCCTGGCCGACGGCCCAGCCCTGTGGAGGAGCCTGGTGAGCTGGAAGACAATTACCTGGAGTATCTGCGTGAGGCGCGCCGTGGTGTGGACCGGTGTGTCCGAGCCTGCCGTACCTGGTCTGCCCCCTATGATGGCGAGCGGCCCCCTCCTGAGCCTAGTCCTGTTGGCTCCCGGACTAAGAAACGCAGCCTACTGCCTGAGGAGGACAGGGACAATGTGGGGGAAGGGGAGGAGGAAGAGCTGGGGAGTGGAGGGCTTTCTGGGGGTACAGGGGAGGGCCCTGGCCACCTGCCCCCTCCCCAGCTCAATGGGGTGCCAGGACCATGGCCTGAGGGGGCCAAGAAGGTTCGTCGGGTGCCTCAGGAGGGGCCTGGGGAACTGCCAGAGAGCACCTCCGAGGGCATGGCAGGACTAGAGGGCTTTGGGCAGGAGCTCCGGGAACTGGAGGTGGCATTAAGCAATGGGGGGGCTGGCTCAGAACCCCCGCTAGAGCCTCCACTACCTCTTGAGGAGGAGGAGGCCTATGAGAGCTTCACCTGTCCCCCTGAGCCCCCCGGCCCCTTCCTCAGCAGCCCATTGCGGACGCTCAACCAGCTGCCAAGCCAGCCCTTCACTGGTAAGCTACTTAGCCTAGGCCTTCCCCTTTGCGTACTCTTTGCATGTATTCAACATGTTTGTGCTGATTTCTGAGACTTCTTTTCCATGTCATTTCCATGTACTTGCCTAGCTCCTCATCCATTTTGCATGGATCCCTTCCAGATACATGTCATACTTGGGTCTCTGTGTCTGTCTATATGTCTTCCATGCTTGTGCTGGTTTGAGTATTAATTTATGTCTGAGCCTTGTATGTTCTATGTGCATGTTCCTCCTCTTCCCTAGTCTGGCCATTTCCTGAGATTGTGATCAGGATGTGTTTGGTGTTTCCTGGTAAATCACAGCAATATATCTGAACAATACATATGGAGGACATATGTGGTGTTCTGTATGTGAGGCATCTGTAAGCCATGCTGTTCCATGCTGTTCCCACCCGTATATTTGTCTGGGTGTTGGGTCTCCTATCAACTTTTCTGTGACCTAGGATCATCTCTTCTGGTGTTCTTCCCCCTACTCTGCCCTGGCCTCCTTTCTTCTCCTAGTCTCTTTAGAGAAGGACTCAATTTCAGGTTTTTGCTGTTTTCTGTCCTTGTACCTTGTTGGTTGCTATAATTACCCAGTAAGACTTTCTTACAGACTCATCATTAGTAGTAAGGACTGAAGCAGATAGAGTGAAATGCCTCTTTGAGGGCAAATGAGAAAAGTGTAGCTCCGATCTCCCCAACTGAGCTCTTTTGGTCTTTCTAAAGACCCTGGAGTTAGACCTGACCTGAGTGACTGGGCTAACTCCTCTTTGTTTTTATTTGAGATCCAGCTTTACCATCCCAGCTCTTATCTGGTTCTTATCCTTACTCCCCACCTCACTCTAGGGGGAAAACAAATAAACAAAATACACCACCTCTGAGAAGCAGTGTCTAGACACACCTTGAGTTAGTGTCCCTTCATATCATTGATGCTTGTAAACCACTTACTGTGATGCTGGTACCTTGGGAGAACTCAGCACGTGGTAGCTTTTTACTAGGATTGTCATCTTTTGGCTGCAAGGCAGATATAAGTTGACCAAGGTATACGCCCATCTTCTGGTTGTTTGTAGTCAAGTTATTGTGCCTTGAGCAGTACATGTCCTAACTGGGCCTGGGATATGCTGCCATCCTGCTTGCATAGCATCAAGGCTTCTGCTCTAGAGTCACGACAACTCCGTCTTGCAGACTACAGAAAATGTGTTTCCATTTATTTAAGCTTTGCTTCTTCCTGCTCAGTACCATTAGAAGGTGGTATGCAGGTTTTACCACATTCTTGAAACATTAATTGAAGCTGTGTCCCTTTTCTTCTTTGTAAACTCTTCTGAGCTTTTTGAATTTTCTCATGTAAGAAAGTCCCAGGAAATGAGAGAAACAGAAGGACAGAGTTATGGGGTGTCTTAGGACCCTGTTAAGCTAGAGTTGTATGGAGCTAAGGCCAGTCACGTGCATTTGGAGTGGAGAATGTTCTAGGATCTTTTTTGGAATTCATTGCCTCTTTCCCTTTGTTGCTCTCCTGTCTCAGTTCATGGTGCAGTTCTTAGGTTTAATCCCTTTCCCTTACAGATCACTGGTCAGACAGACTGATGGCTCTAGAGTCCTCCTGCTGGTGATCTGGCTCAGTTGAGGCCACTTCTCCCAGTAGATCATTCTCATCCCTTCTGTTATCGTCTCACCCAGCAAAGAGTCTGTTCTGAGTCAGTTTTCTCTGGCTCTGAACTAAACTTTTTTCTATAAATTCTCTTCTACCTTCTTGGTTCCCAGTTCCTGAACACAGCTGATTTCTTCTTTGGGGCTCCCAGAGATTTCTCCCCTATCTTTTAAGTTGGCCTTCGTAGTTACCTTTGTCTTTGTTACAGTTCATTCTTGCTTTCTTTCTGATCCAGGTGTAGTGTTATCCTCTGTCTTGTGTGTAACCTGATTCTTCTTTTGGTCCTAATCACTTTCTTGCTTGTTCTTTCTTCTGTTATGTCTCTTGGGTGAAACTTTTTAAAATACTGAGAGACATTATGTAGTGTATAGTTATTACTGAAAACTTATAATTTGCTACATCTTGGGCTAACTGCTTTATAGGAATATTTCTTTGATCTTTTTAATAACCCTGTGAGGTGGGTATATTTTATTTTGTTAAGTAGGACACTATGCTTAGAGAATTTTGATTCATCCAGCAGCTTAACGAGTAAAGGATAAAGCTGGAATTTGAAACCAGGTCTGTCTGACTCCAGAGCCTATGATCTGGCTCTTCATCCTGAATGTAAAGCTGGCGTGTGGACTTTTGGGTCCACATGGTATCTACCATTTCATCTCTTCCAGAGTAGGTGATCACAGGATACTTAAATATAACCCAGACACTGACATACAAATGATTTTCATCTAGTGGCGGGGGGTCTCTCGGTTTTGGGAGGAATGCGTGTGATGTGCATTGTGTTCAGGCCTTGTATCCTTGTGCCCAACCTCCCCAGGCCCCTTCATGGCTGTGCTCTTTGCCAAACTCGAGAACATGCTGCAGAACTCCGTCTATGTCAACTTCCTGCTGACGGGGCTGGTGGCCCAGCTGGCCTGTCACCCCCAGCCCCTGCTCCGCTCTTTCCTGCTCAACACCAACATGGTCTTCCAGCCCAGTGTCAAGTCCCTGCTGCAGGTGTGCGATGCATGCATGCATGGGTGCGTCCAGGCTCCATGGTGGGCCAGGCCCGCAGCTGGAGTGACCCTGGGGGGGCTGGGAACAGACCCAGTGGGATTAGAAAGGACCATCAGTGTAGAGCCACACAGAAATGTCATGAAGTTGTGCTTCATAGGTGCTGGGTTCTGTGAAGAATAAAATTGAGAGCTTTGCGGCCTCCCAGGAGGACTTCCCAGCACTGCTATCCAAAGCCAAGAAGTACCTCATTGCCCGTGGCAAGTTGGAATGGGCCGAGGGCCCTGCAGCAGGACCTACCCCCCGCCGCTCCGATCCCTTAGGTGAGGCCTACCCCACCACTCCAGTCCTCTTCCTATCTTCCCTAGATAGCTAATTAGCCCAGGTTAATTGAACTCTTATTAAGGGTGAAACCTTGTGCCATGAACTGAGGAGTTGTAGAAAATTGAGTCTTGATGTTTGTCCTGTGGCTTCTGGTCACAGGATAAAATACAGTTGTGTCCTCTAAGAGCCAAATCAGCAGCACTAGCAAAAACTGCTGAAGTAGTAAGACAGGCAAGGGGACAGAGTAGTCTCTAGGTTGAGGTATTGTTACAGCTTGGGAACAGGAATGGCATTTGACATGGTTCTTGAGATAGATAAGACTTGGGTAGCCAAAGGAGTGGGATGGCTTTTTTCTTTTGTCCAGGCAACAGCACGAACTATTTTGTTGGAACAGGGGATTTGGAAGGTGGTGAAACAGTTGGCAATAAGGCTGGAAAGATGTGGCCAGAGTTCAGATTAGGTTCTCAGATTAGGAGTTGGACTGGGTAGAAGTTGTGATCTTTTGGGCAGTGAGAACCCACTGGAGGTTCTTAGATATGAGAGTGGAGAGATAAGCATATTAGTTCATGTGCTAAGTGAATTGGAGCCAGGAGAAAATAGAGTCAGGAGGCTTCTGCTGAAATGCATCTGTGACCTGCAAGGCTTGAATTAGAATAGTGGGAACAGGAAGGAAGAATTTGATAATGTGGAAATGAAAAGGAAGTCTTGGCAGAGTTTGGTGAATGGTTGTGAGGCACAAGGAGGAAGGAAGAGTTAAATGTGACCATGCAGTTTTAAATCTAGATCTTCCATCTGCAAGTGTCTGAGCATTTGCTGTATGTACCAGCCATTGTCTTTGGTACAGGCTACTCAGGGAGGTATAAGATGAGACCTCTGCTTTTAAAGAGCTGACAGTCAGTCTGGAGAGTGACTAGAGAAATGTCATAACTGGGAAAGCAAGGTCCCAAAGGTGGTGGAATAGTGGGATCCATTGCACCAGGAAAGGATTAACTTTGGGCAGGAAAAGATTTTTTTTCCTCCTTTTGAGGCAAATGAGGATAGATCAAAGGAGGAAGTGATACGTATGTACCCATGGAGTTGTGAGCTGTGGAGGGAAAAGTCAGGAAATTGAAGTCCTTTATTTGCTAATCAAAGTAGGAAGGAAAATAATATGCTAAGAGCAAGAGAGCAGGGGTGAGATGGAGGTATGAGAGATGTGGGTTGGGAAGACAGTACCAGAACGGTTATTATAGTTCCTTAGCATGATTTCCTCATGTGAAGATGTCTTATTTCCATAGTGCTAGTATTGTGTTCACTGTAGAATAAATAAGAGTCTAAGCCCTTGAGCTCACAGATTACTGTATGAGATAGAAGACCTATATATAAACTAGAAACAAGTTATTACAGTACAGTATGATAAAGGCAGTGAAATGGGAAGTCAGTGGAGGGCAAATCAGAGGTTTTTCAGAGGGGTGGGGATAATAAGATTAGGCCAAGGATGATGAAAACAGTGGGGAGAGCAAAATTAAGACCTAGAAGGCTACAAAAGCAAGAAAGAAGCCTGGAGGGTTCCAGGAAGAGCAGATCTGTGTGGGCACAAAAGCAGGAGTGGGTGTAAAGAGTTTGGAGAAGGGGTTAGAGGGGGCATGTGAGCCTGGTTGTGAAGGGTTCTGAATGCCGTATTTAGTTGGCCTGTACAGCGTACCTCTGTAGCCAGTATTAGAGATAGAGAGTGGGAACTGTAACATGATCTAGAGACTAGATCCCTAGAGTCTAGGCCCTAGAGATGGGACAAAGATCCAGAGACAGGAATCTAGGAAGAAAATTAGGAGAGACAGCAGTGTTTTAAATGGTTCCTTTGAGTCTAAAGTGAGGTGAAGTTTGTCTGGCCATGTGAAGTTGCCTAAACTGACATGAGGTGGGAGTAGGCTTTGGTGGATCTAGGAGAGAGACTGGTGGTTGGCGAAGTGATGGCACAGGAGATCAGATTCTGGAGGGATAGTGGAGTATGATGGAAGTGGTAAAGCCCCTGGACTGTGATTGGATATACGCCCTGTAGGTGTTGAAGGAGTAGAGGCTGTGGGTCCTGTGTTATAGATAGTTCAGGAGCATAAGATAAGCCTGTGTTATGGACTGAGGAGAAATAGCTTAGTGATGGTAGAATAGCGATTGGAAAGGGAGGAGCAGTTAGAGAGTCCCTCAGGGTGAGAGGGCATGGAGAAGGGGTCTTGGTTGGGAATGAAGCAGTTGTGTTGACTGACCGAGAAGACTAAGGGTGATGGTTGGCTTGGTGGGGAGGCTGGATGGAGGGAAAAATGCTGGGCAGGCAGCATTTTGGTTTTAGAGTCCTAGTCCAGATTACTGTGAACCCAGGGAGGGGGGCATCTCTCAGACCGAGAGAGCATGCCTTACCCCAGCACCTTCACGATCCCTGATACCCATTTATTCCCAGTGAAGAGCCGGAGGCCATCCTTGGGGGAGTTGCTCCTGCGGCATGCACACAGTCCAACCAGGGCCCGGCAGGCGGCACAGTTGGTTCTTCAGCCTGGGAGAGACGGCGCAGGACTTGGCCTAGGTGGGGGCTCCCCTGGGGCTTCAACTCCGGTTCTACCCCCTCGGGGTGGGGCCCCTGAGCGCCAAGGTGAGGCTCTGCGAGTCAAGAATGCTGTCTACTGTGCAGTCATTTTCCCTGAATTTCTCAAGGAGTTGGCTGCCATTTCCCAGGCCCATGCTGTCACCTCGCCTTTCTTGTTGGATACTTCAGAGGAGGGATCTGGTCCTCCTGTCTCAGGCTTCGGGCCCCTCAATCCTTAACTTTCTTCCATGGACAATCAGGGCCTCCAGTGGCCTGGGCTGGGGCCGGGGTATAGGCTCCTTTTTATGTTTGGAGGCAGTGGTAAGAGGACTTTTTAATTTATTTCTGATGAATGTTTTATGGAGAACTTGTTGCAATATGTATAAAAGGGAAATCTCTATTCTCTGCTCATTCTTCTTTCCCACCCTTTTTCTCTGGGGCTGGGGCCCCAGGAAGGTTGTACATAAATAGGAGGTCAGGGGTATTTTCTCTCTCATGAGGACATTGGTTTTAAGGTTTTAAGGTGCTTCTTACACCGTTAAAGGGTGAGGGGGTCATGGAGCCTAGGGGAAAAAAGTAGGGACTCTTCTCCAGCCCCAAGACGGAAGAAGCAGCATGGGCCCAGGATGGTTTGGGGGAGCAGCAGCTGATGTTTATTGGGGACCAGTATCCCTATGCCAGATCTTGGGGGCCTTGCCCCCTGAATCTCTTGCCTCAGCTTCATTCGTCGCTGTCGAACTCTGAGGACAGACCCTGCAGCAGGGGCAGGGACATGGAGTGCCGGTCGGGGTCCCCGGGGCCCCCACCCTGGACTCCTGGTGCGGGGCTGCGGGGGCTGAAGAGCCAGTTCTCTGCCAGGGTTGGGGATAGTCACAGCTTGACTCATGCCCTGGTCTTTCTGCCTTCCTGGTCCCTCCCTCTGGCCCTCTGTGCTGTGCCCACCCCCTCACCAGGACCATGCTTCCATCTCACCACCCCTGGCTCCCTCCATCCCCTTCACCAGGATCTGGTGTGGTGTTAGGGGTGCCCCACACATTCCTGGGGCACACATTCCTATATTCCCCATGCCCTCTCCCTCCACCAGATCCCATCCGTCTCAACTTCATATCCCCTAGCAGTACCTGACAGCATCTGGGGCCCCCTGCGGAAAGGGTTTCGGCCCTTGTAGGAAAATCTGGTGGGTCTGCCTTCTGGCCTTTCCTGAGGAGGTGGTGTAGGTGTGGCTGGGGCAGGTGGGGGCACATCAGTAGCTTCAGGGGTGTCGGTAGGGGTTGACATGGGGGCCAGAGGTGGCATGATCCCAAGGTTGGGTCTGACCCAGTTGGCCCCATGGGGCAGTGGATCTTTGGTCAGAGGCTTCTGTGGTCCCAGCACTCCTTTGGGCTGCAGTGAAAACTTGAGGCAGGAGAAGGCAACAGGCAGGGACCGTTGTAACCGGAGCAGCTGGGGCTCTTGGGCTGTAGGCAACAGCCCCAGCTGCAGCCAGGAACAGGAGAAGACCTGGTAGATGACATAGATGCTGTGGGTGCTTCGGAGCCAGGGAAGATTTTGCTGTAGGCTCACCTGAGCTGGTGGCAGCAGCAGGAAGGCCACCTTCTTGCGCAGACCACCCATGTGCAGGCGGATCCTGCAGGGCTGCCCATCCAATAGTCGCATTTCTTCATAGGCTATCTCTTCCCGGCCGTTTGGTGAGTATTCCCGAGTGCAGTGGGCAAAGGCACCCTTAGATCCTACCTGCTCCAGGAGGTTTGGTAGTGGCCCTACTGGTTGTAGTGCCCGCCGACCCTGCCGACTTGGTAAAGCCAGGCGTGTGTGGGCTGGTCGGGACTGCTTCACTAGCACACCCAGTAGGTCATAGCAGGCTGCATCCGACAGGAAAGGTACTGCCACTACATTGGGCCCAAAGCGCTCCTCGATAACCTGCAGATGGCCAGTTTATAGGTCAGGGACTGAGTTAGGGTCAGGAGTTACCTGGTAGCCTACTCTAGATTGACCCTCCTGCTGTTCCCTGTGCAATTACATCTCTACAATGTGCTCAGACGGCTTCCTGCTTATTTCCTAGTTCTCTCCTGTAGCAGAACCTTGAATATACTATGTGCCAGACCCTGCTGGATATTGGGAATACATAAAAGCATGAGATTTTGACCTTATCCTATTATAGCCCAGTCTGATGGAGGAGACAAATATGTACACAGTAGTCAGCTAAGTAAGATAATAGAGAACACGGGTGTGGAGGAGACAGGTAGTGATTTAACAGCTTTTTTCTTTGATAGAAGAGGATCAGAGAAAGTTTCTAGGTGGTAATACATGAGCTTTGAAGGAATCAGCTAGGTAGGAGGATGGTCAATCCAGGGAGAGGATACAACCAGTTTAAAAACCAGAATTTATAAACTAGGTGGGGCACATTCAGGAACACGTAATTTCCTTGCACTTAAACATAGGGTATGAAGAGGGACAAGCACACAGCAACTAGACTGAAAGATCTTGTTTGTATGCAATGTGACAGGAATTTGGTCCTGAGGGCAATGGAAAACCACTTGAAGGGCTCTGGGCAAGAGGGGCAAGATCAGAAAGGCTCTTTAGAAAGTTAATTTTGAGTAGGAAGACAAAATAAGGGGAGAGAAAGATCAGTTAAGAGTATTGTAATACTGCAAGCAAAACATGGTGAGGCCTTCAACTAAAATAATGGGGGAAGATATTTAGGTTATGGAATTAGTAGAACTTGATCACTTTAAGGAATGTGAGAAAAGGAATCCTGAAGGATAAGTTATTAGATGATTGATTGGGTGGGTGATGTCATTCACCACAAATGGGTACACAGAAATAGGTTGGAATGACTGTTCTTAAACATTTTCTGTCCTAACTGCAGGAGAGAGTTCCTTTAGGGATTTGAGGCCTCATCTTTGAAATGCTGGTTCTTCTAGTACACTTTCAGGGATTCTAGTTCCTCTAGGTTTTGTCCTTCTTGTCTTGGCCTTTTTTGGTTTGGTTAACCCAGTTCTGGAAAGTTTAACTTCATGACCGACTGGGAAATCTTGTACGATCCTTTCTAGTATTTGTACTTAGATATGATCTCAACTCATCAAAGATACTGCTAGCTCAGACTTCTGGCTCTGTGGTCTGCTAGCCAGTACATAAAATTCCTTGTTTGGATTCCTTTCCTGTTTGAGACCCGTTCTGTTTTCAGAATAGCATTTTTGCTATGTTCTACTGCCCTTCCTCAGCTCCCAATTCCTACATGCCTGTCCCCTGGCCTTGCCCAGTTTGCCAGCCTTCTGGTAGAGTTCATCAATGATCCCTTATGGTCAATCTGCTTTTTGCTACATAGAACTGTTTTTGGAAGTGCTGCCCCATAGCATAAGAGGAGGGAGGGTCGCTAACTGATCAAGTTGTGTCTGCACTATGGACAAGCTGAAGTAGCTTGAAGAGTACTGTCTTTTGTCGCCTGGCCAGGGAAATACATGGTGCTTTTTCTTTTTTTTCTTTTTTTTCCATTTGAAATACTAGTGTTTATCATGGTGCTTTTTCTTAATCTGCATGGAAGAATTTCCCATAATTCCTCTTCTTTGCTTCATTGGGACATGAAATACTTTATTTTTGGTGGGGGCATCAGGCTGAAGAACAGTTCTGTGAGAAGCTCTGAGAAGGGCCAGTTGGGTTACCAGGGGTGAGAGCAGAGCATTGGTGGGTTGGCATTTTTGTTTAGAATATTCTTCCCCATGACAAAGAAAGCATAGTGACCAAATATAACTTCAGAATCCTATCCTAGCTGCTCCTTTGGTCCCTAGGATCCTATACAAATAAGACAAATAGGAGTGTCTCCAGGAGGTACCTCTTTAGTGGGATTTTGACATTTAAAATACCTGTTCTTATGGTCCAAGTTTCTGATCAGGTGAATCCCTGATTTAGCTGGAGGGTTTTTCCCAGAATAGACATGAATTTGCCATGGTGGGGAGGTTTATAGGCTCTTTTTCTTACCCTTGAGGCCCCCAGTGGTTATCCTAAAATAGGGAAAATAGGGCACTCAGTTCTATGCCAGGGGGACTGTTCTTTGTAGAGTCACCATGTGAGACCACTACCTGTTCCCACTGCACCTTTACTTCTGGGTAAAAGTTCTGTGGAACATAGAAGCCTGCAAATTTAGATTTCCCAGGGGCAGCCTGGGAAAGTGAGGTTGGAAAACTTTCTTCCTGGGTATACCTCGGCTGGTATGAATTCTGAATGAGGAGACTTCAAGCCATATTTTGGTTAACTGTATGTTCTACAAAGTGCCCAATAAACTATCAGTTCTGGAGAGAGGAAACCAGGTTACTTAGAGGTGTCCTGCTCCTTGAATTTGCCACATATCACCAGTGATTTATTGTGTATCTACTTTGCCTTTCCTGACAATTTTCCATTTAAATAGGGAATTTTTCTGATGCTCAGAGATGTAGCTGTCTGCTGGTTGATGACCGCATTTACTTTCATCGTAATGAAATGCTTGATCTTGTCCAGGACCAACCTGCTGAAGCTAGGTACTCTGATATTTGTGAGGGCCTTGGCTCTCCTGTTTCTGCTTCCCTGGGAAGCTGACCTTTGTGGTGAGCTCCATTTCTAATGGGAGCTATATCTATTAAGGCTGTTTGAGTCTAGTAGGCACTACTTTAAGATGGTTGTTTTAAACTTGATAGAAGGGCTGCCTTCTATGAGTGCTTTAAATTCACTGTCCTTCAGATTATGTAACCAGAACCTGATCCCTAAATTCTCCAAATTCAGAAATTGTGGCCATCTAGATTTGGCAGGGGTACTTGCAACTCAGAGCTGACATCTGCCTGCTCCTGAAAATCTCCATATTTGGCTCAAAACCCAAATTTCTCATTTTGTGGATGTTAAGGTGGAGGGGGTATCTGTGAACAAGTCCAAGCTTTTTTAGAAAGCTTACAAGGCCCTTCATGATCAGCCTCTGTACCTCTTTGACCTCATTTTCACCACTACTCATGTGAACTCTGCTCTACAGACTATTTGAGTTCACAAATATGCAATTTTTTTAAATCCTCTCCTGGCTTTTGCATATGCTGTACTTTTAATTATACACTGTTCACTCGCTCACCCACCCACCCACCTGCTCACTAACTCATTTAGGTGTTTATTAAACATTCCTCTTTCCTCTATGTGAGAATAATTCCCACTTGCCTAGCTAGAACGTCACTCTCCCCAGGAAGCCTTCCTGACCTCATAAGTCCTACCCTGACTTAGCACTTGTCTCTGTTCTCAGAAATTCTTACTGCCTTTGAAGGAACTTCTTGCTGTTTTTTGCAATTGTGATTAAATTGGACAGTGTGTACAAAGCACTTAGTACAGTGTCCAGCGTGTAAGTAAGCACTGAGTAAATATTATTATCTTCAAGCTACCCACCACTTCCTACTCATAAGTTGCTCAGACCCATCTAGGTCACACTTTGTTCCTTTCTCTTTAGCTCTCTTACTTTATCCTTGATGAGGGTCCAGGTGGCATCAGCTTCATCCAGTGTCAGCAGGTGGGGGGTACCAACCAACATGGTGGGGTATGGGAGAGGTTAGGCAGGGCAGTGGCTGCTGCAGGAACCCCAAGCTGCCCAGAGAGGTGAGGCCCCAGGCCTTAGGCTTTGACCTACTATAGCATGAGGTCATAGAGGCCCTACTAGATAATGGGGCTTTGGGTGAGGGGAGGGCAGTCACTTTCCTAGCCTCACTATATGCACAGCATGAGTCCATACCCTTGAGTCACTTATCCATTCTCCTCCTTAGGGGAGGAAAATGCAGGGGTGCTTGAGTGCATTTGTGTGTGTGTGTGTGTGTGTGTGTGTGTGTGTGTGTGTGTGTGTGTAGTTCTTGGTCTGAGTTCTTAAAGGAAGCAGAATCAGGCTTCCCCCTTCAGCAGCCTTATTGAATGAATTTGCTGTGCTGCCTTATTAGCTGCAGGTGACTTCTTCATGAGGTTGGATAGGGGTCCTGAAGGACACACTGGAAGTATAGATCAGGACTTAGACTGAGAACCAAGCAGTAGTTCTTAACCTTGGTCATACTTTGGAATTACCTAGGAGCTTTAAAAACTATAGATGCCTGGATCCTACCCCCTGAGATTCTAATTTAATTGGTCTGGAGTGTGCCTGGGCATCAGGATTTCTAAAAGCTCCTCAGGCAATTCTGATGTACAGCCTAGGTTGAAACCCATTATTAATGAGTGGGTTACAATTGCAATGAATACCAGGTGTATGTGTAGGAGGGTGTCATGCTGAGTGGTGACAATGTGGAGGATAAGAATCTAATTGGGACAATGTTGCCTTAGTAACTGGAGAGGACTTTCAGGAAGCCAGAATTACCCAGGTAAATTTGAGGAAATTTTTCTTCATGCACCACTCCATGTCCTAGGGAGATCTGTGTCTGTTTGGCACTTACCTACTGCAGCCCTAATCTATGTGTGATTTCCCCTTGTGTCTCTGTCCAGAGATCTCAACCTGGTGTTTGCTGGAGAAGAAGAGTGTTTTTTCCTCAGAGAAGAACCACTCTGGAGAGCCTTTCTAGTAGCTACTCTCTGACTCTGCCTCTTATCTGTCTAAAGAGTCTTCTCTTGAGTCCCTGTTGAGAGTCTCCTGCATGCCTAGGAAGACCACTTCTGTATGGGGAGCATCCTTTCCTATGCTGACCCAGCATGTAGAGCTGTCCCATAAAGTCGGTCATCGTCTGAGCTGGCTGAGGTATGAATATGAGGCACAGGGAATGGTCCTACATGATGTTACTGGCCTCAGGGTAGGTTAGAGCTAAGGGTATATATATATGGGTGCTCGGTCTTTAAACAAAGGTTTGGCTCTGGGCATGGGACTGCACTCCAGGAGAGGAATTAATATCAAATATCCCATGTTAGAAGCTATGCCAAACACTCTGAATCTGTTATGTTGGTTAATCCTTTTAGTAACCTCTTGAAGTAGGTACTATTATTTCCTCATTTTACAAGTGAATTAAAAGGCTCAGAGAGGTTAAGTAAATTAGTGCAAGGGATACACTGAGTTAATGGAGGATCTGGGATTCAAGCCTAAGTCAGCCTGATTCCAGCTTTTTTTTTTTTTTTTTTTT